TGGTTCGTGGCGGTAGGGTGTGAAACCAATCTTGCGCCTCGCCTTACAAAGTGATGGCAAATATCTTGCACATATGAGCATCGTTGTTCCGATAAAATACCATCGTGCTTCAGTACTGCTTCAAGTGTCTTTCCGGATCTCCATCTCCTTTGAAATATGTGAAATGTGGCATGCTAAACTTGCGTGGAGGCTCTGCCTGCTCAATCTCATCCGTGAAGGGTGACCTGCTCATATTGGTCATGTCTTATCGTAGTGCTTCATCGATAGCTTCGTTGTGTTGGAAATCACGTAATCGTTCATTCAAAAACCTCTATACTTCTTCCTAAATTTACCTTTACTGGGGCAGCGGATCTCTTGGCTGCCCTTAGTCTTAACCTACTGGTTTAGGCTGCTCTTCTACATTCTCTGCTCGTCGATGTCGCGGCAGTGGTACATGTGGTTCGTTCCTAACAAGAGAGGGAATTCTTTGCAGGCTTCCGGTTGAACTTGAGCCCGATTGAGTGATTGCTTCTCTCCGTTTGTCATGCCACCTACTTCGATGCGAGGTGAAGGATGCTCATTGCAGGCCTAGTTGCGAATAAACGCTTAGTCTGGAAGGTTGCTCATGTTAACTACCGAAATATGGTCCCAACCATGAGTGTATGCTCATCTGTGGGCCTAATCGAGAGTGCACGCTCCTCCACGTGCTAAGATAAGAGTATACGCTATCTCAAGGGCCAGTCGAGAGTGTACACTACCAGAAATCTCAGTTCATGGTTGGTCAAGTGGTTACTTGCCGGGACGCTGCTGGAGAGGTTCCTCATCTGCCTTTTTCCTACTTTGGGACACCTCGTTAGGGGCACGTTGCATCTCAGTGCGCTGCAAAAGCTGATTCATCAAGGTCGTCTGTTGTGTGAAGGTGCTCGTCAACTCTATGACTTGTCAAAACAAGTGTTGTTCTCCATTTGGGTTGGAAGAGCTTGAAGGAAATGCGTCTCCTTAAGTAGTTGAAGTGTGGTAGACTCCGGGAGTGAGATTTGAGTTGGGAAATGTCAAATTTATGGAGAAATATGGTGAAAATGCCCCCGGTTCAATCGTCAGCCTAGAAATTTAGAGCTGGGATGGTTGAACTGGTCTTAGACTGGTGTGGGCTGCTTGGAAGGACACGTAAGTGGGCTGGGCTTCGAGTTAAGCAACGAGAGCAGGTCGGGTCATGGGCACGGACCGGGTCGCTGGAGTGCGTAGGCACTGAACTTCTCTTAGTATGACTTGGGCTTAGGCAGCGTCTTGGGCCTGCAGGCCTTGGGTTGTTACCTTGGAAGCTTGGGCTTGCTAAATTTGGGCCATGCTAGGCTCATTTGTGGCGCGAGCCTGGGCTCGCTACTGCAAGGTGGCATGGGCCTGGGCTTGTGGCTGCAAGGTGAAGCCTTCACCATAGGTGTAGATCTCGCCGTGTGTGGCCATGATGGTTGCTGCCGTGCTGCCCTGTGGTGGTGCCACTCCACTTGTCGTGTTAAGCCTCATGGATCACCACGGTCCCTATTCTTGAACGTTGGAATTTCCATTCGTCATGGTTTAGGAGTTTCTAGTCATTGTACTTCTTTTTTATGTTTTATCAAAGAATTTATATAAATAAAAATTCCAAGAATAAAAACGTACGAAAAATCTACAAATGAACAAGAAAATGAAAAACCTTGAATAAGAGTCTTTTACGAGCATGTGAATCAAGACTCTCAATGAAAGCATAGAATTTGAGGGAAACTGTGTTTAGAGAAATTTGGAAAATTTTAGAAAAAGATTGGACTTAGGTTTTTTGGAGAAATGAGGGTTATTTATAGGGGTGTGGCCCGCCCTCTTTGGAGAAAAGGGGTCCAGCCACATATGGTGGTTTTTTAGCTCTAATTGCAAGATATTATGTCAAAATAATATCTTGCAATCAATTAAGAAATTAATCAATTAATTTTGGTAATCAATCCTAATTTGAAAGAATAATTGGGGGTTACCTTGTGGGAGGATTTGATGAGGATTGATGAAATAGGTTTTGAATAAATATCTATTTTGACCACCTTTGACCTTGATTGAGCTGCTATTATCCATTGCTTGCACGTAGGAGTTCCGATGTGCCTCGAGGGTAATTTTGTCTTCTTAACCTAAAAATCCACATGTTGCCTCCATATTTTTCTTAATTATTTTTTACTCCACAACATATCCTAATCAAATATATTGAGCAACAAAAGGCAAACGAAAAATTCTCAACCAAAGTTGCATATCCATAACATAATTTTTTTTTTGCATGTGTGGTCCTTCCATGCCATATATGTAGGGACGAAAGATAAACACAAATTCCAATCCTAGCCACACGATTTTTCTTTGTTGAGGTCCGGGGCCTAGTTATGTTAGAGTTACGTACCCTATCTTCGAGTTTGGTTTCATTTTATTTGAGGAATCTCGATGACATGACAAAATTTTTGTTTAACAAACTAAAAGCATGTACACGACCAATCTAACCCTTGATCAAAACTATTCCAAATTAAGGGCATCCTAAACGAAAAGGGGGCACGAAGTTTGGATTGTAAAAATATTGTAGCCGCTATAGAGAAAATTCTACAGCCTTCGACTCTGGCCTCTGGCCTTGGTGTCGGTGACAATCTCTCTTCTATCCTCCATGTTTTTTATGTCTTTTAATCATCTCCATCTCCTTGGTGTAGTCGCTCTTTTGTGTTGTTGAAAAAAAACCTTTGTGGGTTCATATCTCACTTTGTAAAGAAAAGTCTTTTGCAGCAGTTATGGTTTACTGCTCAACATAGGATTTTGTTTAGACATGAGATTGTGGTTTTTGTGATTCTTGTGCTTTGTGCATTGGAAAAAATATTATGAGGAGGAAGGAGGTTGATAGGATTTTTACCACCTACAAAATTAGGGATAAAAATACTAAAATACTTACAAGAGTACAAGGTAATCGTAGTATAGTTAGCTCTAGTAAGGTCGTTCTCCTAAGGGATTGAATGAATAATTTATGTTAAATCAAATCGTAATTAATTATTTAAAAGAAAGTTTGAAAAAAAAATGTTGATTTTGTGATTTAAAAAAATAAAAACGAATTTAATAAAAATAATTAAAGAAATTAGCAAATTAAAGAAAACAAAAGAAAATCATTTTTGAAAATTAAATTGTAAAAGCACTAGGGTTCCGCTGTTACCTTAACAATCCTACGTAGTTCTTCCAATTACTTGGGACTTACACATGCGTATTTGAAGGTTAGGTTGTCTTAATGTATGCCTACTTGAACCCCCAACATAGAGCGTATATCAAACATGCAATCCGTCTTTGGTATTCAGATCAATTCTAAACATGCATTACTCATTAAGTCTTATGAAACCTTTTGAAAAACCATACAACCCTTAACACTTGGTATTCATCCTAAGTAAACTTGCACATATAAACCACAAGAAGCCTTCGTCAATTTTAGGGACCGACCTCTGACCAAAATTGCATCAAATTACTTTTCTAAATATCCTAATGGTGATCAAGTATCAAGACAAATAGATAGTTTAAACCAGTGATTGATAATTCAAAATTTGCATACATAGTATCATAAGTAAATTGAAAAGAAACTACATATTCTTGCTAAGGTTCGTGGCCTCGCCCTAGCAAAAGAAAATTAATTACAAACAATCATAAAGTAAAAGGAATTTTATTAAAATAAAAAAAAATAGAAACACTTTGAAAGAAAAACACAAATTGTCAGTCTAGCATAGTATTGATGCGTTCTTCCTTTTCTCCCCCTCTTCTTAACCCTAATCGCTAAAAAACCCTTATTTATACTACTAAAAAATTAAAATCCTTACTAGAAAATATCTTTTAAAAACTAGGAAACATAATAAAATAAGATAACTAGGAAATACATTCTTATTCTAACTTTAGGAAATCTGCCCAGCTACAAGAATCCCACGTTTTTGGACTTTCAGGGCTCCCAAGCGGGCCCAAAATGACTTGAATTAAAGCTAAAGATGTCCTGAACATAATTGCAGAAGGCCTCGAACTCAAAAGTCACCATCTTGGATGCCAAAAAGCTCAAATAAGCCCAAAACATCACTTTGACAACACTACGCTGCTCCTTTATTTCTTCACCATAAATAAACTGCTTGGTAGAAAATTTTGAAACTTTGACACGATCAAGTTGAGAGACGCATGAATGTCCTCCAATTTAAATCACTTCAAAATTCATTCGTTTGATCACGTTTTTCTTAAGAGGAAGTCGAATATCCTACATTGAAAATACATAACAAAGTATCAAAATTCTACCAAAATATCTAATAAATTATAACTAAGATTAGGATAAAATATATAGTATAATATCGATTCATCAGAGGTGACTCAGAACAATACTTCTTTTGCCAACCCTGCAAGATCATCAAGGGGTGGTTCGATCGTAGTGCTTTGATGGTAGTTCATCAGATTGCAAGGTTTAGTCCTCATGCATGTTATCTTCCTTGTTGGTTAGAGTTGTGTAGCCTCTTGCTAGCTCCTTCATCTATTTTGTATGTGATTTTTCTTGGATGAGATTTGCTCTAAGGGCCACATTTGACTTACACGTCCTATGTAATATTTAGATTCATTTTCATCTTCTTCTTTTTTTAACAAATGATAGAATAATTTATATTGAACTACAATGATGGGGTTTCAAACACAAAACTTTACATGCAAAGATGAATATTTTTAACTAACTGAGTTACAAGACTTGCTTTATATTCATCTTGTTGAAAGAGATGTTAATGTTTAACCTTTTTCTCTTACCAATACATGATTAATTTCTACTTTCGGGAGTTGAGATTTGAGATTGAGATATATTAACTTGTTCTTTTGAATATAATTGTTCAACACAGAACATATCAATCCCATTGATATACTGGGATTTTAATTTCCTTGTCCCCTTCTAATTGCAACTGGATAAAAAATCAGTAAATCAATCTAATCGAGCAATACTACTACTTTAAACAAAATTAGCAAAACATTAAGAATAATTTTCTAAAGACCTTAATATTCAATTATTTTTTAAATAATTCATTCTACAAGTTGGTATAGGAAATTCAGTAATAAACGGAAAAAATTAAAAAAAAAAAGAAAAGAAAACAATCCCAGCCACAGCTAATTCCACGTACGAGAGTACGGGTGGAGCTCTTCGCCCACTGAAACAACGCCACGTGGACAACACAGACTAAGCCATCGGGACTTTGACCGGGTATTTATCAATTGAGTCCATCCACGGATTACCCAACCCGTCCCCGACAGAAATCGGCCGGAGGGCCCGCCAAACCGCGCTATTACACTTAAAACCCGACCCGAAAGCAATCTGCCAAACCCGGTCACCCCTCCCGACCCGGCCCTTGGCCTCCGCGTACGACAGCTCGTACCACAGCGAACTGCTCGACGTGTTGCCGAACCGGTGCAAGGTCATCCGAGACGGCTCCATGTGCCACTCAGTGAGTTGAAGATTCTTCTCCAGCTCGTCCAGGACGGCGCGTCCACCCGCGTGTATGCAGAAGTGCTCGAACGCGAGCTTGAAGTCCGGAATGTACGGTTTGACCTTCGCCTTGAAAACCTTCTTCCTAATCAGCGTTATGAAAAACAACACCTGTTCGGTAAACGGCAGGACGAGTGGGCCCAGCGTCGTTATGTTCGTTTTCAACGCGTCGCCCGCCACGGCCATGAGCTCACGCGCAAGCGAAACGCCGACGGTCCCTTTGTCGTCTTCTCGCTGGTAAACACACTTGTAGTTCCTGTCGTCAGCGCCCTTGTGGGTCCGGACAGTGTGTACGAGCTCGTACTTGGACCGGGCGAGGTCGCGGTTCCTGTTCGATAGAAGAACCGCGGCGCCGCCCATTCGGAAAATACAGTTGCAGAGGAGCATTGATTTGTCGTTTCCGAAGTACCAGTTCAAGGTTATGTTTTCGGTGCTGACGACGACGGCGTAGGAGTTGGGATTTGCTTTGAGGAGGTCCTTGGCGAGGTCGATGGAGATCAGACCGGCGCTGCAGCCCATGCCGCCCAGGTTGTACGATTTAATGTCGGTTTTGAGCTTGTAGTGGTTGACGATCATGGACGACAGCGACGGCGTCGGGTTGAACAGGCTGCAGTTCACGATGAGGATGTCGATTTGGTTCGGTTTGATTCCCGTTTTTTTGAAGAGTGAGTCGAGGGCGCCGAACATGACCGACTCGGCCTCGGACCGGGCTTGCTCCATGGACAGCTGTGGCGGGTTGGAGGTGATTCCGCGCGGCAAGTACGTCTCATCGCCTAGACCGGACCGGTTCGAAATGCGGGTCTGGAAGTTAACCGTGTCCGGAGCAAATGCGCCGTTTTCTTCAGTCATTTTTAGAAACGACTCAACGGACATTTTGCGTTCGTCTTCCGGTTTGTAGCATGAGAAGTCGACCAGATAAACTGGTCTAGACCGCTTGGCCCAGTAGAGACCGAAGAAGAAGAGGAGGACCCCTGAACCGGCGAGCCTGGTGGCGGCGTCGATGCGTTCGATCCGGACAGCCTGGTTGGTCCAGAGCTCTGTGATCCGTTCCAGCTCCAGACCAGTGAGCTGGATTAATACCGAGACGAAGAGCGGTAAAATGAGGAGGAACAAAATAATGGTGGCTGCGTTAACGGTGTAGCCATAGCCGAGCTTGACGTACTTGAGCTTGACAGACTGTAAGAAGTCCGGCAGGCGCTCCCGGATTTTGATGACGGCGGAGGACGAGTCCTTGAACGCCATCTCCGCCGTCAATCTCTCCTTGTCCATGTTTATGCTACTACTATTATTACTATTACTGCTAGTATCAACAGAAACAGCATCCATTCATGATAAACTGGATTGAATTTTGGTTTCTCTATCTATCTGGGTGTTTGTAAATTAAATAAACAATGAAATGATGAGTATATATAATTTATAAAATACCCAGATGAAACAAATTGAGAGAATACTTGAATTAAATCGAGCAGGACAAGCAAAGTCGAAGACGTCCAGAGAGAGACGTGAACTTGTGAGGAAGAAGAAATGGGGAAGTTTATATAAGAAGATATCGATGTTGGTGTTGTTCCACATGGGGAAGGGGGAGGGCATAGAAATAAGGTGCAGGTGCAAGAAAGCTGGAATGATGGTGTTGAATTAATGGTGAGTCGTTGCTACAAGGGAGATTGGATAGGCAGATGGCTCAACCACCTTAGGGTTTATAGACTAAATTAATATTGACAATACTATAGGAAGACTATTTTGTGGACAAAATTTGTAAACTAAATTTCACAAAAATGAGAGATTTTTTAGTGTGACCGGTATACAGGATGATACATCACGTGTCACTATACAAATAATATGATATGTGTATTGAAAAGTTAATAATTTAAAAAATAAAATTTCTCACCGCTTATATAAAAACACGTAGTCTACCATCCTTTTTTCGTTCACAATGAAAATTATCTCCACAAATAGGAACAAGCATGTTTATCAACGTTTAAATCATAATTCAACCATCAATTTCCATGTCATTTATTTTACAAAATAGTGTCTACAAATTTAATCTCCATGTCATTATCCAATTAATATTTGGGTTATATTTGTATCCAACTTCTCGTTTTGGAAATGTGTTCTATACAAACATTATATATGAGCGTGTGTGCGTTCATAGTGGCAAATGACCAGATGGCCCATGTGAGATAATTGAGAGAGAGAGGGTGAGGTTTTTTTCGAGCAAGCTCGGCCTCAATTAGAGGGAGAGGATTATCTTCCCTCTATTTTTTCCCTTCCCTTCCCTTTCCTTTCCTTTTATTTGAACGATCACGATTAAGTCACGCTAACATCTTATATTAATTTTTTATAAAATATGAGAGGAGATGTTGGAAGGGGATGGAAAGTGAAGGAGAGAGAATCCTCTCTTCGCATTTAGTGATTAAAGATTTATGATCATTGATTTTTAAATTTGATATTAAAAGTGAATAATAAGTAGATGGGTTTTTAATTTTTAATCTAAATAATCGATATCAAATTCAAAGATAAATGAGAATAATTCGAGTGATGAGAAGAACAGTTGTGAATCTTAAAACTAGCTTTTATGATTGAAATTGTACATGACTGAATACTTAAAATGTACCCTAAGATCATGGGTTTTTTTTTTTTTTTTTTTTGTGTGATTATGATCCGATTGGAAGTAGAACTGAAATGCATTAGATTGAAAATGATAACATTTGATATATGAGGTCATACGTTTGAGTTTAGGTCTACAAGAAAGAAAATAATGAGATTCCGAGGGATTAGTAGAATTATTGTTCCCTTCTTTTTCAGGATATTTATCCTACAAGAAAGAAAATAATGAGATTCCGAGGGATTAGTGTTTTTTTCATCTGAAACCCTAGTCAGATTTTAGCACCAAATACAGGGTTGGATTAACTAGTTCTACTAACAAAACGAGGTCTAAGTTCTACCTAAATGACGTAATTAAATTGGACAACAATTCAACATAGTATACGAAGCGGGTGAGATCCTGCAGGACTCTTTCCCTTTCTTGTTGAACAGATGCACATTCTCGGCATTTCCACATAATGGGCGTAACAACTTCCCCCCAAAAGGCCCAAAGCAGCAGTACAGATGGTTCCCGACTTTTACAACTTTTTTTTTTTAATAATAATAATTTCAGCTTAGATCACAAAATAAAATACTTTGACAAAAAAAAAAAAAAAAAATCATGAATAGTAATGTAACTTTATATAAACCAACTTTAATGTTTCTTCTTTGTTTATTCACCAACATATCATCATAGCATATATTTAATTTTAAAAAATAAAAAATAAAAAAATAAACATCTCTTTATTCTCACAATTTCTCTCTCTCTTTCACATTTATCTCCAACTTCTCTCTCTTCCGTAAATATTTTTTAAGAAAAAAGAATAACAAAAAAAAAACTATTTCACAGTTCACACACAAAGTTTGTGAGCTTAGGCAACTATTTTTTTTATATAATGGGAGTGTGGCGAAGGAAGCAAATAGAGGGAAGGGGTATTTTGGGCATTTTGCATGCGAGGAGGAGGGTGGTGGTGGTGCTTGGTGGTTGTAGGTGTAGTTGACTGACCAAAGCCATCAAAGAAACAATAAATTGAGTTACGAGTCAAACCAATTCATGTAGCCGCTAAACTGTCCAAGAAGAAGAAGAAGAAGCAACTGACCAAACAAACAAACCGTCCAAACTTCGCCACGTGTGTTGTTTCTTTTAGGCTCATATAGATATGCTTTTAAAATGATTGAAAACACTTTTAGAGAAAATATTTTTAAGTTTTAAAAGCATTTAAAGTGCTTTCAACAAGAAACACCAATTATGTGCTTCTTCTAGAAAGCACTTTAAGTGTTTTTTCAGGATTTACTTGCATATTTACTAATGATTGGTTCTAAAAATATTTTCACCAAAAACAATTTCAGTCATTTCAAAAGCATATCCAAACGAGCTCTTAATCTATTCTTTCATCACATGGCTAAATAATATTTAGAGTTTATTTACAATTTGATGTTTTTAATACAACGATGTATTTACATTAAGAGTTGGATAGTCAATTTGTATCGAATTTACTGTCTATTTGATTTAATTTTAAGATTTCTTACTCATGTGCCACTTACAAGTGTCATTGATGATTTTAACATTGGAAGCACAATTTAGGGGTTTTATTTACATCCGTGAAATTGATAGAACACTTGAATTTAAAATTAAACTTTAGAGGTCATTTAGTATTATGGTCTAATAGTATTCCTCTTCACTTGTAAGCGAGATATCTTAGGTTCGATTCTCATCAAAGGCGAATTTGAACCACATTATTGCTAGCCCATTGTGAGGCTAAACTCATCACCTCCTCCTTAGTGTAGATAATATCGTTTGTTAAAAATTAAAATAAATAAAAAAGTAAAAAAAAAAATCTTTATAGATGCTAATATACAACAACGGATTCAGAATTTCTCCTATGTTACCAAATTTTAGCCCATTCGACAAAATGCCACACTGAAAATTTAAGTATTGTTTAAGTCCCAAAAAACATGTACGTTTCACACGCTATTTCTTTATTAACCTCTTAAGAGTTTTTCCTGAATTTACTAACAAATGCTTGTTAGATGTTTAAAAATGCAATAATCGTGATAAAGTTGGCACTTATTAGGGGGATAAAGTTGGTGAGAATTCACAGCCCTCAAGCTTGAGAATCTGCAAGGTTGGTCTTGTTTGGTAACATTGACGGAAATTATTGTAAGCAAAGAAGCGGGAGACAGGACCAATGTTTGGAGCTGCTAACTAGAAACTGAAAGCCAATTAATGACCAAGTGGCACGTTGGAAAACGGCCTGTCTGTTGCCAACTGTGCCCTTTCCAAATTAATTGCAACATAAATATATCTTGGGTGGCAGTGGGCCATGAGTTGTGTTGTAGCCTTGTAAGGCTTCTTCCATTTGGTTAACAGCAAACCCGGCAAGGGCAAGGGCGGGTAAGGGCAAGGTCAAGGTGAAGGTAGGTTTTTTTTTTTTTTTTGAACTATCGATATTATCTACACTAAGAAAATGGGGTGGGCTTAACCTCACAATAGGCCAGGTGCAAATTCTTCTTTGACGAGATTTGAACATAAAACCTCTCACTTATTAGTAAAGAGAAATACTACTAGACTGTAGTACTAGTGGCAATGTCAAGATAGTTTAATTGCCTTTACTATTTACTCTTAGTAGTAATTGTTTTTGTGCAGTTCCATCCGTTGGCAAGGACAATTACTATGTAACAAGTACCCGAGCCTCAAGCAAAGCAATGTCTTCCCTCATCGATCAATTTGTTTTCTCAATTACAAAAGGATTTGGGAAGTGGAAAACAAATACAGGGGATTGTAGTAAAATTAAATATTGGATTGTTGTTTGGTAATGAAGACGATAGTTGGGTTGTTTTTTTTTTTTTAAATTTTACCGTTAGGATAAATCCTGGTCGTCGATTTCCATACACTTGGAAATCAGACCACTGATTGTATCACATGGCACAATGGTCAAAGGTCCAGATCATCGGACCTTTGAAAATCCAACGACTGAGGCGCTCAAAAGAAGAAGTCATTAGGCTCTGTGGTGTTGCACGGCCCGGCATTTGTTGGCTGGGCAGTCCGACGGGCTTGGTGAAGCCCATTGATTGCCTTGTTCATTTTGGGCCACTATAGCCACATTTGGTGGGTTTTGGGCAATTTCCTTGCTCTTACCCTTGCATCCAAGGATGGGTGGACTTGTTCTAAAAAAAAGACTGAACTAACTTAGTGGCCGACCAAATTTTGTTTTATATTTGTTGTGATTAGTCGATTTTAAAAGTCTGAAAATAAAGACTTACACAACTTTACTTCGTTTGACTTTCTATAGAATTCAATATACTGTATTTTAACGTTTAGGTGAGTGATTTTTTAAGTTCTAAGAGATTGAGATCACGTTAATAAAAAATAAATTACAAAATAACGATAAGAAGATTGGAAAATTCCTCATAGTAATATAACAAAGGCAAGTATGACACATATCAAGTAGAGATCTTTAAACCCCTCTCATGCGACTTTGTAATGCATGTATGGAGATTTTCTAATCCCTCCTATCGACATTTGCAATTCATTTTTACTAACTTGATCACAATCCCTTAGGGCTTAGAAGTCCTTCTAAACATATGAAAAATGCTAGAAAGATTACATTGTACCGCCACTTAGAACTTATAATGGTTCCAATCCATAACAAGGTGGTGTTGAACGGAAGGTTCTTATCAACGAGAACACCTTCGAACGGAACGTTATAGTGGCGATGAACCCATTTCATGTAAGTCCTTATCAACGTCCACAAAAGATGAATGGTGGCGTAAGTCAGAGTTGCCAAATCAGAAAAATTGTCAGAAATTTATATAAAATCACATTAAAAGGTCGTAAAGGTCGTACCAGTGCACAAGACTCCCGTTTTACGCAGGGTCTGGGAGAGGTGAATGTCGACTAGCCTTACCTCCATTTATGGAGAGGCTGCTCTCAAGTCTCGAACCCGAGACCTGCCGCTCATGGACGAAGGTACTTGCCATCGCACCAAGTGCGACCTCTCATATAAAATCACATTAAACAATAAAAAAATAATCAAAACATAAGTCACTACATGGGATTATCATGAACAAAGTATCACATGACTGTCTAAAAATTGGAAGTTACAATCAACAATGTTCATTGTTCAATCTTCCATTACAGCAGGGAATGAAGAATTTCTCACTTTCACTCTAATGATCTATGATCGTTTCTTCAAAATCGTCGACGGATTCAATTCATAGAACTATACCAAAGAGAACCCAGACCACCTCAGTTCCGAGGGAGGGATTCATGTCTCGTTACCGCAGACTACTTCAGGCTACACTGACCGATACATGCTCCCAATTTCCCTTGCATCCACGTACCACTAAGCAAACAGATCACAAGAATAGAGAGATGGACCCAAAAGAAGAGTTTTTATTATGCCCTGCACAAAAAATTTAAACATCTGTCAACAAGCATACTCTTGTAACAATGTACTCACAAGTACACTTGCGCGAGCGTGCAGAGAGAGACGATGAGAAAGAGAGATGATTACCTCGATTCTTCAGTAGTTTCTTCAGATTTCCACACTATATCTTGTAAACCCGATGAGAAAGTTTTGTAGAACTGTAGTAACAGACATTTAGAGGGCAATATCAGTCAACAGTAAGTTGGCCCTTGGAAAAGAGTACGGAAAATGTTCGAACTAAAATGTTCAAAAATAAAATGTTCGCTTGCCTTGTGAAACTCTAGTGTGTCACCACCAGTTTTCCGGAGCTCTACCATGTGCACGGAGGGTGCCACCTCGAACACCTTAAACAAGAAGTTAAGAAGAGAGTTAATTACAACATGTATTACAATCTGGTAGTACTTAATCGAAAGTAACATCTTCTTTAGATTTTGTAAAGTCGTGACTTGTTTTTCCAAATATCTGTATCGAACACTAAACATATATATGCATGCCAACAGCAATACCTCGGTAGCTACGGAGAGGTGGCCCTTCCTTCCATGTTTGTCTCCTTGCAACTTCATCTGAAATTGCTTGGAATTAGCAGAAGATATATTTGGAATTTATAAACGTAACAAGACGATCGTTTCAATACGATGAATTGCATGTTAAGTCAAGTCATATAAGGTGTAGCATGAGAATTGAGAATGAGTAGAGTAAAACTCATTACCTTGTAGTCTCTCTTGTGAACATTAAAGCCCAATGGCTTTGCAGCTTCCTCAATTTTGTTCATGATTTCATTTGCAGGGCGTTGAGAAGTAAATCGGGTTTCTCGTTTCACAAGACCCTATAGTATCGAAGTCCAAGCGATCAGAAGGCAGCAAACTCTTGCAGAATAACTTTGACAACTATAAGGAATTAGAAGGCCACTATGGGTTCTGAAACTAAGCATGCTCTTGATTCAACAAAACCTAGAAGTCCCAAACACTATTATGGCGAATCCTTGATTTCGGAGCTTCCTAAACCTACTAGGCTCCTTAGTTTCTGCCTGACTAACAATTGGAACAAAACATTTAATTTGCAACTCCAAATAAAATCATACTAAAGAGCGCCACACCGAAGCATTCATACCATTTGCTTCTCAAATAAGTTTTCCAGATTGAAACTCTTTGACCTAGAAATAAGCTCAAAAGCATTCATTGATACAGGTTTCTCTTTCCTTTCTGTTACTAAATTTTCCTGCAACAAGCCAATAGAAAAAGGCTATTTTAGAATGTGTACAAAGTTACAAACTCAAGACAGTATTCGATCAAGCATACAAAAATTTACAGATTCTTCTGACTAAAGATACCTAGAAAAATTCATGGTTGAGAGAAATAAATTAACTTCCGACTAATATTCATACCTTTGAGTCGCCGAAAACAGCATCTACATCACCTAAATTCACATCCTCTTCCTCTTTAAACTGTGCTGGCTTGTAGTCTTTCTTAAACCATTCATTTTCTAAGATCTCAGGAATTGTTATCCGCTGCCATAGAAAAAAAGGGCGAGAACAAGAAAAGAACACCTAGTCAGGCTATATAACAAAAGATCGTCTGCATTCAGATATTAATGCCCTGTAATGCCTGGATAATAAGTTTACATGTGCACGGTCATATACCAATGGTCTCAAATAATAATTTTCATGAGCATATGGAAGAATGTACTTATTGAATTTTGGCACACGAAAAAGGGCTTTGGAGCTCACCGTTACAGGGTTTGGATCAAGTATGCGCTGTATCAATTTCTTTGCCCCGGATGAAAACCATGCTGGACATGAAAATTCAGCTTTGCAGATCTGAAATTAACAATAGCCATACATTAATAAGTTATCCAGAGATTCCCATCATTTAAACAGAGAAAGCCAAACTTGGTTACATACTTTTTTGTACAGCGCTATAAGACTTTGTTCATCAAAGGGCAGGTAACCAGCCATGAGTACAAAGAGAATGACCCCGCAAGACCAAATATCAGCTGATGTGCCGTCATAACCTTTATTGTTTAGCACCTGATACAAAAATACCAAATGTGAGAAACAAAAGAACACAATCAAACAGTAAGGCAATAACCTGTTTTCATAAAGTCGGAAGTGAAAACCTCGGGAGCAACATAATTTGGAGTCCCACAGGCAGTATGAAGCAGCCCATCTTCCTACAAAATGTGTACATTGTCTGCTTTAGTATGTCATATAACATAAGTTATAACATATCGGCAACAAGATTGAATTGAACATTCCGACTTCCCACCAACAACAAGGTCCAAAGACACTCCTCATAGCAAGAGGATTCACTTCTGGTAACAGTACATCACTTAAACTATAATCCACTTCAATACAAGATTTTAGATCTACTAAAATCTTCTTGCAACAATGTTACTCACCCGCACTTGCTGTTCAAACGTACTGAGTCCAAAATCTGAAATTTTAAGCACTCCATATGAATCTAGGAGAAGATTTTCGGGCTGCAAAAATATGAGTCTGATGCTGTTAGTCATGAATAGTCTAAGAAGCCCAAACATTCATTCCAGAGCATATCCAGTATGACCAATGAAATCAGGACAAAGTTATAAAGTCTGTTAAACCTTCAAATCGCGATGGTAGACGCCTCTACTGTGGCAGTAATCCACAGCATTAATGAGCTGCTGGAAATATCTCCTGGCTTCATCCTCTTTCAATCTCCCATTTTTGGCCTAAGGAAACATGAAGCTGATAAAAGATTGTTTTCTAAAGTAAACATAAGACTTGCGTCCACTGTAACAAGACAGTATTTCAGTGAAAACAGGATAATGCAAGTTGAAACAACTATTGCTTACTATTTTGTCGAAGAGCTCACCCCCATCAACAAACTCAAGAACAATGTAGATCTTAGTTTTGCTTGCCATGACCTACTCATAAACACAAAAAGTTCACGATTCAAAAATGTGCGAAGAAATCTGTATATGCATACGGCATTGGGTAAATACAACAATGTCTTAAAAGGCGTAGGCGAAGCCAAGACGTTTCAACTTCTCTTCTATAACCATCACAAAGAAAACACCTCTAATTCATTTCTTGAATAAAATAAAATAAAATGGAAGGGATTGCATTACCTCGAACATTTGCGTAACATTTGGGTGCTTGATCAGCATCATTGTAGATATCTCTCTTTTTATCTGCCAATATACAAACACCAAAGAAAAATTAGTTATAATTTCATTCCTGCTCAACATTATTTATAACCACCTAAAACATTATTCGTTTCTTCCCAAATTCAAAAGAAAAAACATATTATTGAATCAAATTCATCCTCTTTTTATCACCTGAACTACTAAAAAACATGCAACCTCGGCTTAGATTCCATAATCCCCAAAATATCAACATTTCTACAAAACCAATATAATGAATTATATATATATATATATATATATATTCGCATATATGTATGTATATATACATACGTGTTCGACCATCTTGTGTTTGAGGACTTGCTCGCGGTCGACGATTTTGATGGCGACGCACTGTCCGGTCTCCATGTTCTTGGCGAACTTCACCTTCGCAAACGTTCCCTCCCCGAGCGTCTTCCCCAGCTCGTACTTCCCCACCCGGGTCCTCATCCTCGGCCCCTTCGCGCTCATCTTGCCGCCCTTCCTTACTGCACGACCAAGATCCCGCGGTCCGAAATTTCCAACTACTGGGGTCCCGCGAAGGATCTAAAGATTATAACTCAGTGTTTGTTGCAGCTTCTGGGTCGGGTTTGACAGGAAGGAGAAGGGGAGAGAGAGAGTAGCAGATGATAGGAAGAAGAGGAAGAAGAGGGAGGGATTAAGGTGGTGGTGTTTATCGTGTCGAGAGCGTGTTGGGCCCACATGGGGGGATGACGAGTATCACACGACTCTACCAATCAGGCACATGCTCCGTCTGATATTGATTCACAAGTTCCCATGGCTGTCCATGCATGTCCTGCATCATCCTTAATCACCTGCTGTTATGTCATAATTTCGACAATTGTCACTTATTTTTTTTACTTTTTTTTATTGTTTTCCCAAAACACCCTTCTCCTCAAAAGGCTCAAATTATGGTGGAATATTTGACACCTTTGCTAATTTGGAGCCTGTTTTAGTGGCAACAGAGTTATTCGCGCTCAATCCAAACACTCTCACATATCGGGAGAAAAATGAGCGTATAGATTAGTATCTTTTTTAAAAGGCGACAGAAATTGTAAAACCTTACAATTTACGGGACAATATTTTCAGTTTTAGAGTTTTTACTAAAAGAAATATATGCGCACTTTTTATAATTTACATAAAATCAAAATGACCAAAGGATATTATGAAGTAGGGTTGAATCAATTTAAAGTGTGTTTCTAAGACAAGGATTACAAAGTGGTCTTGACACATGAAGCAGCGCTCTATCTACTTAAAGTGTGTTTCCATGGCATTGAGTGGTTGTTGGTAGCGCTCATCATCTATCACCGAGGTAGCGCTCTATCTACTAAATCTCTTAGGCTGACTTGTAGACCTAATATTTCACACTTTCAGCACTTATGGGCCTTCTCTTAAGACCCATCTTTTAACAACTATACATTATTTTAATAGATCTAAAAGGACCATGCGTTAATAATGACATGTGAAAATCGTTTCAAAATAAATTAAACTCGATAGTATATTAGAATCTCAACATGTTATATAAAATGGTAAAACATTTTTGTAACTAATATAATGAGATTAGTTGGTCTTTATATTATATCATATTTACAATAAGAGTATAACTAATAAAGAAAATCAAATTAGTTAATTTATATCTAATCTAATCTAATTTGTTTATTTTGTATTTTATGTTAACGTTATTATAGTTAGTCCAATTCATACCACAATGGTAGAGATGAGTATTACATTTGCACCACGACGTGAGTTTGAACTTCGTTGGTTCCTTAATTTAATCTGACAAATCTATCGTTTTGATAAAAATAAAAAATAAATTCATTAGCGTTGTTGGGATACGAGGGCAATAGTGTAATTGTGATTATAACCTGACTGCTAATTATGTAGGAGAGACAAACGATTTGTGGTCAAAATTAAACGATATAGATAAACACAGATGTGATTTCTCATGCAATAATTGAGGGATGCCTCGCTCCAAGACAAAGGCCTGGCAGCTGGGGATGTTTTGCTGGGGCCTTCTATATCTAGCTTCATATCTTTTATCGATTCTACACCTCATGTACAATAATTACGTATTATCTTATCCTGCGTGGAACTATGTAACTGTGTCCACGTATCATGAGTGGGACATATTGTCTTGCCAAACCGCGCCGGACTTTGTTTGTGGCTGTCACACAACCACGTGTTAACATATACTTAAATTATAACATTGTATATCATGTAGATGTTATAAATAGGCAAGAATTAGATAAACAACATTTGTTAAAGACATGAGTGAAGCGGGTGCAAAATATCACACTATAACTTTAGTAACTATAACACAAAGGATGACAGATTACGCCCGCGCGTTGCTGCGAAAACCAACTGTTACAGGCGTATTCAAATGAATAAAACATATTTAAGTTGAATAAGAATGTCCCCATGATTAGTCTTCTCGTTTATTTTTCACAAACCAATCACATATTAAAAATCCAAGTACGAAAGCTTTGCAAAGATAAATAAAAAATTTATATAACTAATTAGACTTTGAACATGCAATCAGGGCACATAATCGTATACCTAAAAATAGCAAGGAACCGGCTTCTTCCTCCCACAACCAGAGTTCCTGAAATTTCCAAAGAAAGTAAATCCGTTAGCAATTCAAAGAAATTGGATGACCAAATCGTATTACATTTGAGTTAAATGAGCAAAGGTAAACCAATTAAATGAGATACTAAACATATTTCAAATCTATGAAATAGAAGAACAATCATGTTAGGACTCCCAAGATGGTGTCCTGAGCACAAAATTATAGGTTAATAAAGGTAAATCCCAATCCAAAGCTCCAACCTTTTAACCGAAAATGAAAACAAAAGCATGGAACATATATTTCAGTTTTATTATTAGATTTTCTAAATCCTCAATTTGAATGTGTTGTAAAGAACTGCTAAAGATAATACCACAAACTAAGGGTAGCAATCTGACCATCGTCGTGCATGTCATGTCGACTCTATGCAACTTAATATATAAAATTTAAGCACCATTAGACAGTCTCCTAAGCATCTACAAACCATTAACATTATTTCCCCAATTTTATTTCCCAATTTTATCAAATGCTTCATAAACGATCACAATTTCCACCTAACTCCGAACAAACAATATTGATAAATCTTTATCATCAACTTTAACAAAACAGATTACAGCGAAAAGAAAAAAAAAGTTCCTATGCAAACAAATTCTTCTAGATGTCCAACCTAACCCATCTAAGGGAAGGCAAGCAATCAGACGTGCATTCAGACCAAGCAAAATAAATTTTACAATTTATCAAAACAGCAACTGATTCTCTCGAAGAGAACACACACACACATACCAACATATTATTCACCATATTCTAAGCTTTCATTTTCGTTCTATCTCTTTCGTTATCTAAACTTATAGTTATCAAAGCAGCAATAAAATCATAGAGACACCTTCAATCATTTATCAAAACTGAATTAAATAAACTTCTGCTCAGCAGTCCGTTAATTTTAATTGCAACTCTCATTCTAAAAATTTAAAAATTTTCATTTGAATAATCACACGCACTTGCACGTTACATTCCTCTTATTGGTTCTTGACACAATACATTTTACGATTGATGTACTAATATCACTACAAACATGAATCGCGATAGATATAGAAACCAAACTTGCACACAAATGTTTCACTGAATTCAGAACCACTTAATTCAACATAAAAAATTACCTCACATGTTTGCTCCCCTTCTGCTCTCGCATTGTCGGCTCCGCTACTAAACGATTAATGAAGTCCTAAAAACAGAGCAAAAAACGTTTACCAATCCAACATTTCAACACATGGTTTTGGCAAGTATAACATTTCAACATAAGCATGATATAGAAAGAAAGAAATCACATGTCACTTTGTTTTTAGAACCAACAAAAAGGGCAATTATAAGAGAATGTAACCAATTTTAAAGAGTAAATCAGTCTCCCAATAAAGGAGAGCAATGCTGGCGGTAGACCAAGAGTAAGTAAAACCCGACTGCTGCAACAAAAACACAATTGACTTTCACACTACAGAAATAAATAATAAAAAAACACATACTTGCACCCAATGCATTGTTTTTTTTTTCTTTCTGTGCAGTATAAGAATAAAAAAGGATAACATTCCCCTGAAACCAAATTCATCCCCCAATTTCTTGCAACAAAGAGGGAGACCAACCTTGTGTTCTTGGAGAACAATATAACAATTAGACACAATCAGACTGATCCAAGTTCCCACTATGATAATGAAAAATTAAAATCAATAAAATAGCTCAAATCATATCACAGTATGTCACAAAGTACACCATTTGATAATCAATAAATTTAACAAAAATGGATTCAACTCACTCCAAGATAAGCAAGCTTATTAAGCATTTTGTCATAGTAGTAATTGAACTTGAAATTCCCTTCTAACGTGATCAACCCTATTTGATCCACAGTTAAAGACCCTAAAAATGTAAACCCCTAATCCATACTTTAAATTTACACCCTTACACCTTCATTTTCCTAGACTTTCTCAGGAACAAAACAAAACATATAACACTCAAAATTCAAATCAATCGAACTAAAATAACCGATGGGGAGACCAATCTCGTGCTCTCTAAGGACATTGAATGATTTGAGACAACCAGAGTGATCCAAGTCCTTACTGTGATCATGAAAAATTATAATTAATAAAATCACTCAAATCATATACAGCATATCATAAACTATGTCATCTGTTAATCAATGAATTTAACAAAATTTAAAATGAATTCAAATCATTCCAAACAGTGATATTTTATATATACATTTACAACAACAAAAAATTCAGTTTTTAGCAACTGGGATCAAAATAAAAACACAAAACAGGAATTTAAGTACCCACACACAAAAACATCGCATAAAGATCATTAAAAAAACCACCCAAAACAACAGAAGAGAAAACAAATATGAAAAAAAACACTCTACAAATTTAAGTTAACAGTTTTAATTCAAAAGAAACGATATTAGTTAAATAACCTAGAATGTAAAATTAATACATAATAAAGAGAAAAACACATTTTTAGTTCTCTTTTGCAGGAAAGAAGACAGAAACTGTTTAAAACAAATAAAGTTTTAAGAGTTTAAAAATTTAACTCAGAAGAAACCATATTAGTTGAGTCAACCTAGAATGTAAAACTAAAACAGAATAACAGAGAAAAACACATTCCCAGTTCTTTTACAGGCCAGAAGACAGACACCGTTTAAAAAAAGTCAAACTTCACTTTGTATCAATTAATCAATAGTCTAAAGTATGAAAAAAAATTGATTTCAAAGCCTTCCTTAGGAACTTAACAACGTATCAACAAACATTACGTTAGCGATGATGATATCCATGAAACCCCAAGCTGCAAGCAAATACTGCCTTTGGAAATTTTCAATATAAATGGTTTTGCAAACCAACCACTAATGAAACATCTAATTTCAAACAAATAATAAAAACTTTCTTTAACTGACACATTATCCTTCTTCTTTCCTCCCATTTACTTCCCACCCTCCCTATTAATCCCTCCATTTTGAAACTCCTATATTCTTCCTATTCTGTACAAAACCTGCCAAATCATTTCCTCACTTCTCAAAACCCAAATAATCACTTAAAATGCACAAAATTACAATTAAATCAATATTACATTACACAAAATGACATTCAAAACCATAATACACTAAAACCAAGGGTGAATTCAACACCCTCAATAAGTGGAAGCATTCGTACCTCAAATGAATTTGTAGCTTAATTTTCTTGCTGAAAAACCTTGACCTACAAAACCAAATTACATTTATCAACAAAAAGGAATCAATGTAGGAAAGCAAACACAATACAGAAAAAATGGCCATTCAAGTAAGCTCTATTTAGATTGTAATAACTCCCAATTTAAGAAAGCAAATCAATACAGAAAGCAAATATAATCCAAATTACCTCGAACACCGCCATCATATTTTTACTCCGTTAGGTATACACGTCCTTTTCTTTCTAGATAAACTTTATTTCTTTGAAGTTTATGCAGGGTGCATTCCAATTTAACCCTTTAAATGTTTGTATAAAACTTAGGGTTATCAGGGTAGTTCTATTCTAATTTAATACATTATATTCTCGCCTGCTTGCAAGTCAACTAAGTCAACTATTCAACCTTCGCATATTGTTTATTAGCTGCCATATGGACCAAGTCTTTGTAGAAAAATCAATGTGTGGAAAGGGCTTAAATACTTCAATTATGGATATGCTAATGTATAATCCTTTGTTCTAGACCAATTTCGTTCTTAGTTTGTCTTCTAAAAGTTGAAAAATGTTAAAAAAATCTCCTCTTTTTTCCCTTGATACAAACGACAATTTTTTTTTTTTTTTTGTATTAATATAAATTTGTTTGCACCAAGGGATGGGGTGGGAACATATCTTGAAATATGGCCACGCCCACATTTGCAGCTGAAGAACACTTAAATATAAGTTTAATTTGGTGCTACTATAGGTTTAATTTGGGTTTGTTCCACCACTTAAAATTTGCAATACTGATTTTGAACAATGAATAAGAAAATTCTACCAAGAGACAGTAAAATAGTAAATCAACTTAATTTCTGTAAAAACAATAATAATAATAATAATAATAATAAACTTGTGCAAAAATTTCATGAAATTTTGGTAAAAAGGGAAAAGAAAAGGATTAAGACAATCAAGACTAATGGAAATTTTGATATTGTTTTAACATTAACTCAGGTTGATTTTGTTCACCAGCATTAATAAAATGAACGACTTTAACTTGGGCAAGCAAACAATTAAATTTGACGTAAGCCAAGTAACTTAGAAGTTAACCATATGAAAAAAGCAATGACTATCAAACTAACCTCTTCTTTTCATATGAAGTATAATCTGTTCTCTATTTTGCCTTTGTGAAGAATGCACTTTTCACTCCCTACACACAAAATAGCATACATTGAAAATGCTCAGTAACATTATAAAAACTATAGATATACAGTACTGTATATGTATCATATACTATAGTGTATACGTATTTGGACATAAGGTATAAAGATTTACTAACATAATTTAAACTTAACAAAAGAAGTAATTACAAATTAAAATCAAACGATATATAGTTGTTCAAAAAAATTCTGGCTAAATTTTACAAATAGTATTATAAATTGTTAAAAAAAAATAACACCATTGAAAAAACTCACCACTCAAATCTGCAATTCTATTAAAAACACATCACTAAAAATTAACTCCAAGGAAAGGGGATTAACAAATTATACCTTTTTAAGAGTTGGAATCGTTTTATCTATATCTTGAGGATAGGCATGAAAAGAAGTCTAAGGTTAAACATATGGTAAAAATTACACTGGATCAAAGAATGATTAGAGTTGATGGATGTAGTATGGAATATAAGTTTCTGGAGAGAGAGACAACCAAACTTCACACTGGATCATATTTTTTTAGAGATAGAGAGAGTTCTACTTTTCAACAGCGGAGAGAACAAATTCAATCTTAGGCATAAAAAGAAAAAATAGAAGCTTCATAGCACAATAATTAACCACAATCCTCTGTTTTTCTAAGTGCAAATAGAAAAAAGGAATCAAAATATTCAACACAAAATCTTCACATTAGCTCAAGAACTATATTATTTCCAGTGCTTTCCAATTTTCCAGCACGGAACAACAAACATAAAAGCATTAAAAATATATAATTGCAAAAAAAAAAAAAAAAAAAAAAAAAATTCCAAGAAACTAAATGCAAAGTTAGCCAGATCTGCACAGTAACATAAACCCATTACTTAAAATTAAGAGCATTGCGGCTCACCCTGAAAACACCCATTTTGCAATGAGGAAGAAAGACACTGCTGCTCTGGCTGTTGAGTGCTGCTGGCTCCAAAGCAGTTTGTCTACCAGAACTTTATAAGAGCAAGTCCAACCCTTCAAAGCCACTGTAAATCGCCAAGGATTTACATCATTCTGCTTCCCTAAAAAAAGCAAACAAAAAAAAAGAAAAAAAATGGGAAGTATAAAATTCAAATGACCCTTTATGAACATAACCCAGAAATTTTACTTGTATTCCATAAATGCAATAAAACAAAAGTCAGTGTCTCCATTTTCCAAACAACCAACCAAGCAAGCAACAAACTTCGAAAACCCTAATTCTAACCAATTTAGAACTATAACCAAGTAAACCACTTAATCAACAAAACCCACTAATTTTCTCAAAAACCCAACAAATTTAAAGGATATCCAGATGATAAATCCCAGTAAAATCCCAAATTTGAAAACCAAAAGGAAAAAAAAAGGCAAAGAGGCTTATCTTTCTTCACTAATCGGACACTAACAGAAAAACCTTAATTCATATTACTCCCCTCTCGCTCACGCTCTCTCTCTCTCTCTCTCTCTGCGACGTCATAGATTGAACAAAGAAAAACGAAATAATGGGGAACAACCTAACCCCAATCCCTATGAAACCCCCAAGAACGAAATGACGACTCCACTCTCTAACTTGTAATCCTCATCGTGCGATCTGAAGCACAGATGGGCAGTCATCCCGACCCTTAGCTCTCCCATCTCCCTCTCCCTCTCCCTCTCTCTCTCTATCTGTCTCTATCTATTTGTCTATGTGTCATGGCTCTATATCTCTGTCTCTGTGTCACGGTTAGGTTGAAGAAAGAAGAAGGAAATGATGGGAAGTGGGAACAACCTAACCCCAATACCTCTGAAACCCCAAGAACGAAATGACAACTCCACCCCTCTAACTTGTAATCCTGATGGTGCGATCTGAAGCCCATATAGGCAGTCTCGTCATTTAGACTCCCAAAGGGCCGGCCTCACACCAGCAAATGAGAAAGCCCAGGGAAAAAATCATGAACAGCCCAAAACAACTCAGCCCCAATACCAGCCCAAATGTGATGGGTTTCTTGTAAATAAGGTGAAATTGGATGGCAAACTTGTGATTGTAGCTAAGCTACAGTCAATTCATTCCTCAATTTTAGAATAGATAATAACACAAAGGATGACAGATAAAGATAGGGAGGGAGATATACTGATATTATTTCTTTGATTCTTTTTTTCGCAGTGTGTTTTGATAACACATGGATCGCTCTATTTATAGAGCTACTCCCATGAGAACATCTAAAAATGATATGATGGTTACTTTTGACAAGATTACATAACAACAAATATATCACTATCCTTTTCACCTTTTTCAAAATGCATGTGGGTATACTAATGCATGTGGGATGTGGGCATACATCATACAGTTTTTACAACACTCCCTCTTGGATGTCCATATATCAACATCAGTTGCATTGTTAAAACCTTGCTTGGAAAAACCCAGTGGGAAAAAACCATAGCGAAGGAAAAAGAGTACAACTTTACCTGGATTGTTGATATAGTGTTATTCAAGCTTATGTTGCCTCGTTAAAACCTTGATAGGAAAAACCCAGTGGGAAAAATCCTAATCGAAAGAAAAAAAGTACAACATGCATGTATTATGGATGCTCCCCCTTGAATTGTATCTCCGCCTGATTCTGCATTCTTCAAATTTAGTTGATTGGTAAGCCGACGTAATCTGATTCCCTGCACTAATTTCTGAAATGTGCACTTTGGTAAAGATTTGGTGAACAAGTCTGCCAGATTTGCATTGGAATGGATTTGTCTGGCTTCAATAACTTTAGCCCTCTGAAGCTCATGTGCACTGAAAAACTTTGGAGATATGTGTTTAGTCTTATCGCCCTTGATGAATCCTTCCTTCATTTATGCAACACAGGCTGCATTATCTTCATGGATGACAGTTGGAGTGTCTGTCTTTGAAGTTAGACCATATGAATTCTGGATATGAGGGATCATTGATCTTAACCAAGAACGTTCACGACTTGCTTCATGTAAATCAAGTATTTCTGAGTGATTAGAAGATGTAACAACTAGTGTTTGCTTTGTTTAGCGCCATGAGATTGATGTATCTTCATTAGTGAACTCATATTTAGTTTGTGAGCGGGCTTTATACGAATCATAGAGGAAACCAGCATCTGCATATCCAGCAAGGATCTAGTCATTTGTGGATTTCTCTAAGTATAAGAGACTCATATCTGTTGTCCCACGAAGGTATCGCAAAACATCTTTGATTCCTTTCCAATGACGAATTGTTGGAGTATATTTATACCTTGCTAATAAGTTAATTTAAAAAGCTATATCTGGTCGAGTACATTGTGCTAAATACAATAAAGCACTTATTTCACTCAGATATGGTATTTCTGGACCAAGGACCCTTTCATCATCTTCTTTTGGATGAAATGGATCTTTCTTAATGTCCAAAGAACGAACGACCATTGGCGTGCTAAGTGGATAAACCTTGTCCATTCCAAATCTCTTCAGGATTTTTTCAATATAAATTGATTAGTGGACCAAAATTCCACTAGCACAATGCTCAGTTTGCAGGCCGAGACAATATTTTGTTTTCCCAAGGTCTTTCATTTCAAATTCGCTTTTCAGATATTCAACAGTTTTATTGAGCTCTTCAGGAGTTCCAAAAAGGTTCATATCATTGACATATGCTGCCACTATAGCAAATCCAAAATTGAATTTCTTAATGAACACACAAGGGCAAATGACATTGTTGATATATCATTCTTTGATCAAATACTCACGGAGACAATTATACCACATTTGTCCAGATTGTTTCAACCCATACAATGATCGTCTTAATTTGATTGAGAGCATACCTCGTGGTTTGTTAGTCGTTTCAGGCAACTTAAGTCCTTATGGGACTTTCATATATATGTCAGTATCTAATTCTCCATATAGATACGCGGTGATGACATCCATAAGTCGCATGTCAAGTTTTTCTGAAACCACTAAACTTATTAAGTAACGGAATGTAATTAAGTCCATTACAGGAGAGTATGTCTCCTCATAATCAATTCCATGTCTTTGTGAAAGCCTTGTGCAACGAGTCGTGCTTTATATCTTGCAATCTCATTTTTCTCATTACGCTTTCTTGTGAATACCCATTTATAACCCACGGCATTTACATCAGGCGGGGTTTGGACTATCGGTCCAAAAACACTTCGCCTTTCCAAGGAATTTAATTATGCCTGGATTGCATTTTTCCATTTAGGCCAATCTTGTCTCTGTTTGCATTCATCAACAGAACAGGGCTTAATATCATCATTTAATATAATTTCATTGGCTACTAAGAATGCGAACATGTCGTCGATGATTATTTCATTTCGATCCCATAATTTGTTAGTACATGCATAATTTATGGAGATTTCTTTGCTTTCATGCACTTCTGTCTCTTCAGGGACATGTGTCTCATCAAGGACATTTTATTTTTCAGAATCATGAATTGGGGATTTATCATTCATTTTCTTTTCTTGAATGATTTCATTTGGATTCAACTGTGCCCTCGTCTTTCTTTTTCGAATGGCTGAATCTCTTGAACCTGGGGGTCTACCACGCTTCAGGTGTGCACCAGATGATTCACTCGCTGCCACTTTATTTTGTCCAATAGGGACATCCATTCTTACAGGTGCATTTGCAGCTGGTATATGTGACTTTGTCACTTTTGAATCATCATTAAATGCATCTAGCATTCGATTAGCAATACTTTGAAGGTGAACGATCATTTTCACATTGAGTGCTCTGTGGATCAAAATGAGATAAGGTGGGAACAGCCCATGTCAGCTTTTGTCGTTCTTCTGGAGCAATCTTTTCTCCCCCTAATGACGAAAAGACTGTCTTATCAAAATGACAATCCGCAAAATGAGTTATAAATATATCACATGTTAAGGGTCCCAAATATCTAATATAAATGGTGAATCAAAACCCACATAAATTCCTAGTCTGCACTGAGGTCCCATTTTAGTGCGTTGTGGCGTTGCAATAAGAACATAAACAACACAACCAAAAACTCGTAAATGTGAAATGTTTGGTTGATGCCCAAACACGAGTTATACTGAGGAGTATTGGTGGTTGGCTATAGGTCTTAATCAAACCAATGATGCAGCATGTAAGATGACATGTCCCTATGCAGAAACTGGTAATTTTGTTTTCATGAGCAGAGTGTGAGCTATTAACTGAAGCCGTTTAATCAATGCTTCTGCTAAACCATTTTGAGTATGGACATGAGGAACAGGGTGTTCAACATCAATGCCCAATATCATGCAGTAATCATCAAAGGTTCGGGACGTAAATTCACCAGCATTATCAAGTCAGATTAACTTAATGGGGTAATCTAGGAACTGTGCTCGCAACTTAATTATCTGAGCAAGAAGTCTCGCAAAAGCTACATTTCGAGTAGACAAGAGACAAAC